GGTGGAGAGAAGGTGGTGTAGTGGGGAGATAGGAGGTGGTGGTGAGGTGGCATTGATAAAAATAATTAATGTATATTATATTATATATTTTAATATTTAATAAATTTATTTAACACCTGATTTTTGAAATATTTTAATAAGTTTGTTATTTATGAAAAGTGAACTTTAAACATATGAATTATGTATTGTTCCCATTAAAATTCTGATTGGTGGCCCATAAGGCCCAGCCCATAGCCTGCTTTTATATTCCCATTGGCTTATCCATAATGAAGATTTAAGAGGAAATTACACAAAATCAGACTTTTAAAATTTCAATTTCAAATTTCAGATATAAATTTTATTTATACAAAAATCAAATACTAATTCATCTCAATCTAAATTATAATTACCCAAACCCTAAAAATCCCAAATCATTTATCACATTTCATTCTCTCCCTATCCTCTCCTTCTCTCTCCTCCTCACCTTTCTCTCCTAGTTTTCATTCTGGGGTTTAGCGGCTTCCATCGACTCTATTTCAGTTACCTTTGGCTGCTTCTCAAGGCTTCTTTTTCGTCTTCATCTGCATCTTCCCCGTCAACTATTTTTGCTTGGCCTTGCCTTCCTCTGGCTCCAATAACGTCAAGGTCAAAGGCTTGATGGTATAAAATAAAAGCAAATTTGCGAACAGTGCGAACTCGCGATGCTATGTGTCGATGCGTGTAGATGCTTTTTTATGGAGATGTTGACCGATCGAAGACGTCGTGAGCCAAGTGCGAATGGTGCTCCTGTAGTGGTACAGTAAAGAGAGAGGATTGCGAATCGCCGCTGCTGTGTGGGGATTTGGGGAAATTTTGGCTGCAATTTGGTGTTGGAGTTTTGTTGGTTGCGATATGGGGGAAAATTTGGAGTGAGTTTTGTTGGTTGTGTGTAGTTGGTGGTGGTGTGGCTGTGCTCTAAGGTGGTGGCAATTTTCGTGATGTTCCCAAGGCGTGAACGACGCTGCCTTCAACGGTCGCTATGCACATTGCAACATTGCTGCTACTAGGAATGATAAGGAATCTGGGAAGAATTTGGCTACAATTTGGTGTCGGGGTTTTGTTGGTTGTGTAAGTTTTATTGGTTGCGATGTGGGGAAAATTCGGGGTGAGTTTTTTTGATTATGTACAGTTGGTGGTGGTGTGGCGATTTTCATGAGTTTTATGGCAGTGCGGATTTTTTTTGAGTGATTTTTGTTTGTTGCATTTGTTGTTGGTGGTGGTGTCAACGTCAGTGGTGGTTGCTGGTTGTTGGGTGATCATCACAGTGTTATTGGTGGTGCGGCTGTTGTTGTGAATTTGATTTGTTAGTGTTTTTTGGGCAACAGTGGCAACGTTTTTGTTGGATATTGTTGGTGGTAGTGGTTTGGTGGTGGTGGTTTGGAAGTGGTGGTGTCTGGTGGATTGGGGTAGGTAGTGAAATTAAGAGGGTTTGTGACCAATTATTTAAGATTGTGACCATTAATTTGGATATTCTGTGACTAGAAAATAACGTATGATCGATAAATTATGATTAATAAATAATATGTAACCTAAAAATTTGAATTGTGACATATGAAATTTGTGATTTGTGACCGATAAATGAATTGTGATTTATAAAATTTTTGATTTGTGACCGATAAATGAATTTGTAACCAAATTGTATACAATTGCGATCAAGTTGTGACGTATAAATTTTTTTATTTGTAACCGATAAACAAATCGTGACTTATAGAATTTTTGAATTGTGACCGTAAAATAATTTGTGACCTATAAAATTTCTGATTTGTGACCGATGAACAAATTGTGACACGTAAAAATTTTGAATTGTGACCGATGAAAAAACTGTGACCTATCAAATTTTTAAATTGTGATCGTAAAATAATTTGTGATTTGTGACCAATTATATGAAATTTGTGATCAAATTATATGGAATTGTGACCTTAATGTATTTAATAAATAAAATATATATTTAATTAATTTATTTATAAATAAAATTAAAAAAACTCTGAAATTTGAAATTTTAAACTTAATGTCTTAAATTTGAAATTAGTAAAACTAAACTTATTAAAAAATTTCCCAAAATTTAAATAGTTAATTAACAATAATTATCGTGTCATACTTTTAATTAATTATAATATTGTCAAGTTGCCCTCTTTAGCACATAAAAATTATGACCTTTTATTAGATGAAAGGTTAAGGGAAATTCGTTATTTTTGATAACCAAAAAGCTTGAGGATTTAAATGTCAAGAAACATAAATTAAACTCAAGCGCATGAGTTTTTTCTTTATCTTCTCTTTGCCGAGTTTAAACTCAAATGTGATTTTTTTATTTTTTTTATTTTCTGAAAATTGAAATTTCTCAAAGAAAAAATTAAAGATGAAATTGCTTTAAAGTATTTATCAATTATTATGTACGATTTATTAAACCCATAGTCCTCATTTTCTTACAAGGATACGCATATAATTAAACTACTTGTACACACAAAGTGAACACTTTGATTGACACCTCCTATATGTCAAAAATCCGTCAACTCACATGAGTGTAAAACAATATGTCAACATTTATGTACATATCGCACCGTCCTTGTTAAAAATGCATTGCAAGGAATTTCCAATATTTGAGAAGCTCGTGCAGCGCAATTATTAGTATGATTTCAATGCAAATGTAATGCTTTAGCCAGACATGTTACCTCTTTAGAAATTGCTTTTTTTCTTTTTAACATCATCAGTTCAAAACTTAAGGCATCGTTCTCTTTGTCGTTTTCCAACCATTTTCTGTATTTAATTTCTCAAAACAGCGAAAACGCGTTCTCTATCTTATTTTCGAAAACGCGTTTTGGAAAATGAAGAAAAAAATATAACTGAAAACGGAAAACAACAAAAACATCGTTTTGTAAAATTTTTGGAAAAACAAGGTAAAAACTCGATTCATAATTAAAATTTAAAAGAAACCTGATTTTTTGAAATTTAGAACATATTTTTGGCATTTTTGAAATGTGTAAAAGTAAACACCTTATTTATGTATTCTTCCCAAAAATATTTTCGGTTTAATGAAGCACTAGCAAGGGCTTAGAAATGGGTGAGCCCATCAAAAGCCTGAGACAGGCCTGGACTGGATTGGGTCATGGTTGGCCCACCTATCTAGGCCAGCCATGCCAGGATTAGAATTCTGATTGGTTACCCATAAGGCCCAGCCCATAGGCTGCTTTTATATTCTCATTGGCTTATCCATAATGAAGATTTAAGAAGAGATTACACAAAACCAAACTTTTAAAATTCCAATTTCAAATTTCAGACATAAATTTTATTTATACAAAAATCAAATACTAATTCATCTCAATCTAAATTATAATTACCCAAACCCTAAAAATCCCAAATCATTTATCACATTTCATTCTCTCCCTATCCTCTCCTTCTCTCTCCTCCTCCTCACATCTCTCTCCAAGTTTTCGTTCTGGGGCTTAGCAATTTCCATCGACTCTATTTCAGTCACCTCCAACTGCTTCTCAAGCCTTTTTTTCGTCTTCGTCTGCCTCTTCCCCGTCAACCATTTTTGATTGGCCTTGCCTTCCTCTGGCTTTGGTAATGTCAAGGTCGAAGGCTTGATGGTATAAAATAAAAGCAGATTTGAGAACAGTGCGAACTCGCGGTGCTATGTGTCGATGCGTGTAGATGCTTTTTTTATGGAGATGTTGACCGATCGGAGATGTCGTGAGCCAAGTGCGAATGGTGCTCCGGTAGTGGTACAGTAAAGAGAGAGGATTGCGAATCGCCGCTGCTGTGTGGGGATTTGGGGAAATTTTGGCTGCAATTTGGTGTTCGAGTTTTGTTGGTTGCGATATGGGGGAAAATTTGGGGTGAGTTTTGTTGGTTGTGTGTAGTTGGTGGTGGCAATTTTCCTAAGGTTCCCAAGGCATGAACGATGCTGCCTTCAACGGTCGCTATGCACATTGCAACATTGTTGCTGCAGTGAATGATGAGGAATCTGAGAAAAATATGGCTACAATTTGGTGTCGGGGTTTTGTTGGTTGTGTAAGTTTTATTGGTTGCGATGTGGGGAAAATTTGGGGTGAGTTTTGTTGATTATGTACAGTTGGTGGTGGTGGTGGCGGTGCTCTGAGGTGGTGGCGATTTTCATGAGTTTTGTGGCAGTGTTGATTTTTTTTTGGTGATTTTTGTTTGTTGCATTTGTTGTTGTTGTTGGTGGTGGTGGTGGTGTCGATGTTAGTGGTGGTTGCTGGTTGTTGGGTGATCATCATAGTGTTATTGGTGGTGCGGCTGTTGTTGTGAATTTGATTTGTTAGTGTATTTTGGACAACGGTGGCAACGATTTTGTTGGATACTGTTGGTGGTGGTGGTTTGGAAGTGGTGTCTGGTGGATTGAGGTATGTAGTGGAATGAAGAGGGTTTGTGACCAATTATTTAAGATTGTGACCATTAATTTGGATATTCTGTGACTAGAAAATAACGTGTGATCGATAAATTGTGATTAATAAATAATATGTGACCTAAAAATTTGAATTGTGACATATGAAATTTGTGATGGATAAATGAATTGTGATTTATAAAATTTTTGATTTGTGACCGATAAATGAATTTGTAACCAAATTGTATACAATTGCGACCAAGCTGTGACGTATAAATTTTTTTATTTGTGACCGATAAACAAATCGTGACTTATAGAATTTTTGAATTGTGACCGTAAAATAATTTGTGACCTATAACATTTCTGATTTGTGACCGATGATCATATTGTGACACGTAAAATTTTTGAATTGTGACCGATTAACAAATTATGACCTATCAAAATTTTAAATTGTGATCGTAAAATAATTTGTGATCTGTGACCAATTATATGAAATTTGTGACCAAATTATATGAAATTGTGACCTTAATGTATTTAATAAATAAAATATATATTTAATTTATTTATTTATAAATAAAATTAAAAAAACTCTCAAATTTTAAACTTAATGTCTTAAATTTGAAATTAGTAAAACTAAACTTCTTAAAAAATTTCCCAAAATTTAAATAGTTAATTATAATACTGTCAAGTTGCATTCTTTAGCACATAAAAATTATTACCTTCTATTAGATGAAAGGTTAAGGGAAATTCGTTATTTTTGATAACCAAAAAGATTTGAGGATTTAAATGTCAAGAAACATAAATTAAAAAAATTAAACTCGAGCGCTTGAGTT